ATCACCATTGGCTGTAAGTTCGCCCGGTTGAAAACCACAACAATCCTCGCGTTTATTTGACTCAAACAATTTTATTGGTGGATTAGTAACTTTTATATTATCTGGTAGTTCAATTGGAAAACTATCTTTATGACGAAACATGTCAATAGCGGCTTTGGAGTATCTATCCCCAGGTGCGGGGGTAAAAGTTATATCATCCGCATTCGTAGCCCCAGCGGTGGCTACTGCTTTAGGGTCAATCACCGGAAAGCCCTTGTAAAGCACTCCATTCGTCGTCTTTCTAAACTCATTACTATCATCATTAAAAGTAAAACCATTCGCATAGATTTGGGCTACCTCGGTCTTTTTCGTCAAACCTCGCCGATGTCAAAAAAAAATCTCTATCAGGAAATCAATTCAATTATCTATTTCATTCTCATAAATCCTATCACCCGCTTCATCTGTTAAACTATAAAGAAAGTGCTTAATATTTTCATCACCAGTTTTATCAGGAACGGTTTCACTACCCCAAGTACCATGAAAGTAGGATTTCAATCCAGTATTATCCTTATTAACAAATCCACCAATCTCAGCAGAAGTATCAGTTAAGGTTAATTCTGGTCCCCTTGTGAAATTCTTACCGCCGGGAAAATTGGTTTCCACATCGGCTAATTTTTGTTCCAAATCCAAAAAGGCTTGTTTTTGATCATCTCGGTCCACTACTACTGACGGTTCGTTAGTGCCTGCCCTTTTACCATTGTAACTGGTGTCATTAATGCTTATTATATTTTCGGCCGTCAGAGCACCCGTAAAATCCGCTGCTACTAAGTTCAATATTGCATCTTGGGAAGTCCCGACAGTGGTCTCGGGCTTAATATTTCAATGGTCCGTGTTATCATTTAAATTGTGGTTTAAACCTACTATTTCAAAAGCGAAACTACCTTTAGCATCACTTTTGGTATCTTTCACATCATCTTTTAAAAAAATTAACCTCGCCATTTTCTCTAATTCCGCTTCCGGACCGGTAATCCTGATTTTATCAATATCCTCCCGGTTAACAACATCAGTATTACTTGTAGGAAAATCGCCTATTTTACCATCTGGATTTCCTGCGGCGTGGTCCTCGCTTCATGGGTTAAGTCTGTTCCCATTTTTTTCGATGATTAGTGTGGAAGTATCACCATTACGATTAAACACCACTCCATTTTTACCATTTACTGTTATTTTTATCCTTGTTACCATATAATATTTATTATTTTAATTGTTAATGATTTTAAATATATTTATTTTATTATGTTATTTCAACATCTAGCAGATAAAATTTTATCATCTGTCTTTGGCTTTCATCAAAATATTCACGCTTATTTTTCTTATCGCTGTCTATTCAAAAATAGCAAGTTTATTTTCTTTTGCGTTAAGAAAATGTCATTTCATTTTTTTTCTACTACATGGAGAGAGAGAGAGAGAGAGAGAGAGAGAGAGAGAATTTTTACCTCCGCCTCATCCCCTTCCTCCATCTCCTTAATAT